CCGGTGCCGTGCTCGCGGCCGCCCCGCAGGCTGAACCCGTAGGACTCGCCCGGCCTCCTGATGAGCCTCACGAACCTCACTCGGCCGCCGCCCATGGTGGAGGCGGCCGAGGAGATGGAGGGCGCGTGGGTGGCGAAGGCGTGGCCGCGGGACGCCTCCAGGGGCTCGCTGATGCCCATAAGTCCTCCGTCGCGCATGTCGACTGGCACTTGTTGCGCTCAGAGCATCTGCGGGGCGAGGGAGATGGCGTTCGTTAATATGGGCGTCTTACATACAAACATACACACACCCAAACATATGTACATACATGTGTATGTGTGTGTGTGTGTGTGTGTGGTGTGTGTGTGTGTGTGTGTGTGTGTGTGTGTGTGTGTGTGTGTGTGTTGTGTGTGTGTGTTGTGTGTGTGTGTGTGTGTGTGTGTGTGTGTGTGTGTGTGTGTGTGTGTGTGTGTGTGTGTGTGTGTGTGTGTGTGTGTGTGTGTGTGTGTGTGTGTGGAGGATAAAATACGCTGGAAATTATCTTAAAATCAGAGACGAGCATAGCCGATCAATTAATAGCTATGGTCAGTAGATAGCAAAAAGAGAATAATGATAAAAGGAATACGCCAACCCCCAAAAATGCTCCTAAAACAACCGTGCCATGCCTCACAAGCAGCATAACAGCCGCAACCGCATTCTCCGCAAACGACAACCGCCGCCGGGCTGGCTATGCAGGCACGCTCCCGCCAAAACACGTCCCCGCCGAGCTATGTGAACGAGGAGCTGCTTCTTCGTACAGGAAAACCTAGACACTCATATCTACCATAAATACCTTACCAAAACAAAGACAAGACCTCGAAGAACAAATATTAATCGTACTTTTATCGAGAATAATGAAATGGAACAGAGGAAGCCGACCCAAGGAGAAAAAAAACCATCGGAACACAGGTATTGCACATCGCGTCTGGCAGGGAGCCAACCCGCCATACTCGTGCGTGTGTCCGGCGGCGAGCACTGTGCGTCGGCGGTTTCCAAAGCGATGCGAATGGGAAATTATAAACGTTTCGGAGATGATAACCTCTGAAACGTCATGAAGAGTTATGGAAAAACTGGTTTAATGACAGTCGGAAAGGAACCCAGACATTTGAGACAGAAAAAAAGAAAGATACACGTAGATGGCGAGATGCGTTATCTCCGAGGCAGACGGACATGTAAACAAACTCCGGCGAAATGAAATATTTATACATTTAATTTAATTACTATGCCCATGGAATCCTCAGTTACCTTATTATTGACATGCGAAATTAACCGACATGCATAGACGTATGAGAGAAGCGAACAACTTGAACTAAGGCTCAGGTATATATATAAAAAATAATCAAACCGACCAATCAGCTGAGAACAAATAAAGAACGCGCCATTATATACAAAAAAAAAAAAAAAAACTTGCAAAGACATGAAATGGGCGTTGAATAAGGCGGCGCCCATGGAAATATATATGGACATGGGCATGAAGGAGAGGCTGGACTTGATGCCCTTCCGTGCCCAAGAGATGAGGGGTGAGGGCAGGGGTATGGAGTAGGGGAGGGACAAAGGGCTGGGGGAAGGACAGGGGGTACGGAATATGGGATGGAGCAAGGGAAGGGGGGAAGCAGGGGTAGAGAGAGGGTATGCAGTAGGGGCATGGGCATAGGTAGGGGTAAAGACTAGTAACATGGGTAGAGGTAGGATGTAGGGGCAAGGACATGGGTAAATATAAGGAATTAGGACAGAGGCATGGACGGAGGTAAGGAATAAGGACAAGGGCATGGGCAGAGGCAAGGAGTAGGGGAAGGGGCATGGGTAGGGGCAAGGAGAAGAGGGTAAAGAAGCCAAGGTCAGCAAGCACGTCTCACCTCGTTTTGCAATGGTTTTCGTCATGGCCGAGCCTTTGGCAGTCGCTCGTTCGGTGAAGAGGTTTCCGCGAAGGTTGCCGGGAGTCACTTTGCGAAAATTGTGAACTTTGAAGCGAGTGCTAGGTCTTCACGTTATATATATATATATATATTATATATATATATATATATATATATATATATATATATAATATATATATATACATATACACACACGCCCTTTTTTATTGATGGTTCTAATGTCCTTTTTTCTGTTTGTATCGTTATTTTCTATTTCGTCTGAGAGTTTTATCTTTTTTTATGTGGTTTCCTACTGTTTCTATTACTCTCATTTATTTATCTATTCTTATTTTATCTTCCTCACCCCTCTGTCTGTCTGTCTCTATCTCTCTCGTTCTTTCCCTTCCCCTCTTTCTCTCCCTTTCCCCCTTTCTCTCGTTCTCTCCCTTTCCCTCTTTCTCCCATTCTTTCCATTTCCCTCTTTCTCCATTCTCTCCCTTTCCCTCTTTCTCTCTCCCATCACCTCTTCTTCCCACTCTCTCCCCTCCCTCCCTCGCTTCCCTCCTCTTCCTCTCTCTTCCATTCCCCACTCATTTCTCTTCTTCCTCTCTCCTGTCCTTCCCACGTCCACGCACCTGAGGACCCGCACTGCACGCATGGCTGCTCACGAGAAGCGCTGGCTGGCTGTTCCCCCGAGATGCCCCTCGCAGGCCGCCCCCTTCATTCCATTCCACTTTGTTTATATTGCGAATTACCCTCCAAACGCCATATACATGCCTAGATGTATGCGTACTATGGAGATTTGCACGGAGATTAGCATAAGTTTTTTTTGTTTCGGTAGAGGAATATGTTTCTGCTGTTTTTTTTTTTTTTTTTTTCTCTCTTTTTCTTTCTTTCTTCCGTTTCTGCTGTTTTGTTTTTGTTTTTCTTTTTTCTTTCTGTCTTTAAAGGGCTGCGCGGAATTCGTCCGCGGGACAGCATATCTCCGTATTTTCCGTTATTTAAGACAAACCGTAATCCATTCATCCCGACGCCGTCAGTAACTCACTCCAAACGCTCTCAACACACGCAATAATTCCCCGAAGCACGCAATAACTCGCCGACGCACGCCATAATTCACACAACACTCCCTGATGCACGCAAACCCGATTTTTTTTTTTTTTTTTTTTTTTTTTTTTTTTTTTTTTTTTTTTGGCGCGCCCTTTCGCTTGAGCCGAAGAGCGTCCGATTCCCTGATGCCTTTTAGTTCCGTTCTGATCCATCTTTGGGGAAGGGCGGGGTGATCTGAAGGATGAGGAGGGAGGGGAGGGGAGGGAATTGGAAGATTAGGGAAGAGGGAGGAGTCTTAGGGGAGGAGGGAGGGGAGTCTAAGTGGGAGGGGAGGGAGTCCTAGGGAGGGGGAGGGAGTCTAAGTGGGAGGGGGAGGGAGTCTAGGGGAGGAGGAGGAGGAGTCTAGGAGGAGAGGGGAGGGGAGTCTAAGTGTGGGAGGGGAGGAGTCCTACGGAGAGGAGGAGTCTAAGGGGGAGGAGAGGGGGTTGAGAGGGAGGTGAAGAGGGGTGGGTGGGTGGGGGATTTAAGAATGGAGGGGAGAAAAGAAAAGAATAAAGATGAGGAAGGAAAGAGTAGTAGAGGGGAGGAAGGGAAGAAGGGAAGATTCAGGGTAGGTTAAGGGAGAAGAGGAGGAGAGGGGATGAGGAGATGAAAGGAAAGATAAGGGAAGAGAACAGGAGAAAGGGTTCTGAGGGGAGGAAAGTAGGAACGAAAGAGGGAAGAGAAGGGAAAATAACCTTAAAGAGGTTTAGGAGGAGAAAGAAAGCGTTTTAGGGAATACAGGAGAGTCGAGAATAAGGGAGCGTCGAAGGAGGAAGGGAAGGAAGGAAGGTAAGGGAATAAGAGAATGGCGGAGGAAGGAGTCGGAGGGAGGGGTAAGGGTATGCCGAGGGAGGGGGGAGGGGGAGGGGGAACGAGGATGGGCTGAGCCCTCGAGCGGGTTTGGCGAGTGAAGATTCCATAAAAAAGAAAAAAGAAAAATGAAAAAAAAAAAAAAAAAGAAAAAAGAACAAAAACGGAGAGAACACTAATCGACTTGCATAAAAAAAACTCAATAAAATCTTTAAAAAAAGCTCTCTTGCCTTTAGTAATTATCCTTTTCCAAATCAATATCTCTTTTTAAAAAGAAAGAAAAACACTAACAAACAACATGGTAGAAAAAACTCAGAAATCCAAAACCCAACACAAACTTAGACAAAAAAGAGACATGGTAAGAAGAAGAAGAAAGAGATGAGAAGGAAAGAAGAAGAAGAAGAGAAAAAAAAGAAGAAGAAGAAAGAATAGAAAGAGGAAAGAAAGAAGAAAGAAGAAAGAGGTAAGAAGAAGAAGGAAATATGAAAAAGGAAAACCAGATATAAAAAAAGAGAAAAAAAAAAAAAAAGAGAAAAAGGAAAAAAAAACTCCCATCCTGTTCCTCCTCGGCGATGCTTGGTCATCTGTCCTCCTCCGGTTAGATTGCGTCACCGCCCACGAGAGGTCACCCTGACCTTACCTCATGACCCAGGGGCAAAACGCCATGCACAGGCGGCCCCGGAGCGTCAGGATATGAGGCAGGAGGGCGGGACATGAGGCTAATATGAGGGCCGAGGAAATGTTAGTTGAAATAGAGAATAAGAGAATGAGAATGATAAGGAGATATTAGTTGAAATAGAGAATAAGAATTATAAGGAAATGTAAGTTGAAATACAGAATAAGAGAATGAGAATGATAAGGAGATATTAGTTGAAATAGAGAATAAGAATTATAAGGAAATGTTAGTTGAAATAGAGAATAAGAGAATGAGAATTATAAGGAAATGTTAGTTGAAATAGAGAATAAGAGAATGAGAATTATAAGAAATGTTAGTTGAAATAGAGAATAAGAGAATGCAGAATTATAAGGAAATGTAGTTGAATAATAGAAATTAGAGAATAAGAATTATTATATTAGTTGAAATAGAGAATAAGAGAATGAGAATTATAAGGTAATGTAAGTTGAAATAGAGAATAAGAGATATGAGAATTATAAGGAAATGTTAGTTAAATACAGAGTGAGATCCAATTCTAAAACACACCGTGAGGATTTATCAAAATGTCT